CCCCCCCCCCCCCCCCCCCCCCTTCTCTTCCAGGATTGGCCGTTTGACGACGGAGCTCCTCCCTCTAACCAGATCGTGGACGATTGGCTGAACCTGCTGAAGCTGAAGTTCAGGGAGGAGCCGGGCTGCTGCGTGGCGGTGCACTGTGTGGCCGGGCTGGGGAGGTGAGCCATTAAAGTATTGTGTTTTATACAAGTATTATGAGTATTCTGTTATGTTTTATACAAGTATTGTGAGTATTACGTGCTTATCTCTGCTGTGGCTTTTCCTTCTGTTTCTACGTTCTCTGACTCAAACAGTAATCTGTCAGAAATCAATCAGAAATGTCAAACATTCTGCTTTTTTGATGCTTTTCTCTGTTAAACAAACACGTTGAAGACATTGAGCTCCAGGAACATTTGATATATATATTTTCTATTGTTGAATAATCTGTTAGAATAATCTAAAAACAATAGAAAATATGGAGAAAAGCCTCTTACATGTTATTATAACATAACTGTTACACAAATGATTATTCTATTCAGTGATGTCTCATTGAGTTATTATTGTGATTAACAGAATGTAACTTCATAAAACAATCACTTCAACCGCTCTGAAGTCAGTAAACCATTACAATGCTAAATGTTATCATTTTGCTTTGTTATTGTAATCTATAGGTTTTTTCTTCATTAAAACAACAGTTATTAGGAAATAAAAGTGTTTTTATGGATTAAAACAAATGTTTTCATTTTTAGTTTTAATGATGTATTATAATCTCAGAGATATGTTAAACAGCTCACGATTCCCTCTTTAATATCTATGTTGTTGTGAAACACAAGATGACATGTGAACACATCATAATGTTATAATTCACCTTCAGCCAGTACTCATGTTCACTGAGCAGAGCCTGAAGGCATCATAGTGAACCTCCGTTGGTTAGCCGTTAGCGGTGCTGCTAACGTTACTAGCTCTCCTCCTGTTGGTCTAAACACTGATTGGTTGTTTACAGTTTAACATTATCAGAGATGAGAGACTAGAAACACATGAATGATGTCCTGATCTCGTATTTTACTGAATATCGGAGGTGAACGATCGTCAGTAAAACTTTATTTAAACTGTGTCTTGTCTCCCTCAGAGCTCCTGTTCTGGTCGCGCTCGCCTTGATTGAATGTGGGATGAAGTATGAAGATGCTGTCCAGTTCATTCGACAGTAAGTGAGACGCGCGACCAGAACTGTGTTTTAAATCATCTCCTCCTCCCGGCACGGCAATTACTTTGCCAAAAAAGAGAGAAAACGCTCAATAATCAAAGTTAAAGATGAATTTTCAGATAGCATTATTATTTTTCGCAAACTTTTTTTGTAGATATTGCGATAAAATTCTGATTGTGAATAATTTTTCCCATGATAATCCTGTTTTAAGCCCTGATGTTTGCCTTTTATTCTGAAAAAAGGCCAATATTTATACTAAGCTGTTAACGTGGCTCATGAACATTAATATTCACGTTTACGTTAACATTAAACTACTCTGTCCTACAGCTATTTGTAAATAACAAAATGCTTATATCCAATCCTTATATAATGCTTAAGAGTTTCTGCTTTGGACCAGATATGTGGGCAACAGAATATGACGTAAACAAACGTTTGAGGCTGATAATAAACCTGCAAAAACTCTGTTCATATGTAGCAGATATGACGGTATAGAGGTTACATAAACACAAAGATTTCTTGAAGATCCCTTTTATTTTGGACGTGTTGGGACATCTTGATCAGGACATGAGCTGAGCTGTACAGTGAACGTCGGGCCCTCTGGTGGTCAAACTGTGTAATAGACCGTTCACGCTCAAGCACGCAGTGTTTCAGACACACACACACACACGTATATCTGTGACTTCCTCACATTAACTGAGCGTGTTAGTGTTGCGTAACGTCACATCTGTAAATAGCTGCCATATAAAGTATGTGATGCGTCATTGCTTGAAATGTATTTTCAGGTCTCAACATTGCAAGAGTAATATTGAAAAATGCTGTAATTCATCACAATATATGTAGTTTTATATTGTTTATCGGTTTATCTTGATTGACTGTAGAAATTTAGAAAAAAATGAAATTCATCTTAATCTTAGTTTTTTAGTTTCCTTTGTTTTGGACAAATTAATTGGACTCAAAATACGATGTAGGGAGGTGGAAACACAATATTGTCATACGTGTATTGTTGACACTCGTCCATAGATCAGATGAAACTCTGTTGACCTGATGCCTTGTTTGATTCCTCCAGGAAGCGTCGAGGAGCGTTCAACAGCAAGCAGCTGTTCTACCTGGAGAAATATCGTCCAAAGATGCGCCTGCGCTTCAAAGATTCCAACGGCCATCGCAATACCTGCTGCATCCAGTAGAGCCCCCCCCCCCCCACACACAGTCTGATTACCTGGCGGGCTCCTTTTCTTAGTCATTGTGTTGAAGTGTTTAATTTTGGGAAACCACGTCAAACTGTCCCTTTCCTCTCCAGGTTCAACATCAAGTGTCAAAAAAAGAAAGAAATGAGTTGTGTGAACTGGAATCACCATTCCCCCCCCCCCCCTTAACAAAAGAACCCCATTGAGAGGGTCAGCGCTGCGTCGTGTATCGTTGTAAAGATGTTGGATTGATCGTTTGCCCACAGAGTCTCGATTCGTACGTTCACATCTTCCTGAGAATGTGCTTAAAAAATACTAAAATGTGAGCAAAATTTCTACCCGTTAAATTCTTTCCGGTCCCGTTTCCAGGCTGAGGAGAAAGAGGAACGCCTTCCTTCAAATCAAGACGGTTCATCCATAAATGCCTTACAATCGAAGTGGGAGCGAAGGCAATGGAGGCGGGAGTCGAACCGCCCGCTGGCGTTTGGAAAAGGTTTCATTTTTCTACTCGGAACAAAAGAAAAAAACACAAAAAGCCCTAGCAGTGGTTGCCTTTGTCTTGTGCAGGAAGTCTTACTCTCACTTACGCCCTTTCAGTAACTATTTTTTAATATACAATGCTTAGTTGTTGCAATATTTGTCAATTGAAAGTCTGGAATGTTATTTCTTTTCTCTATCAAACCTTCTGTTTACTAATTAACTGCCATGTCCAAAATGTTTTACTTTCATTTTTTTTTTTTAAATCTTTTTTGCTTCAAACTGGACTTCCAACGTCTGCGATATTTTGTACGCCTTTTTATTTGATGTCCGTAACTTAAGACTTGGATACTTGATGATTTTATGTATTTGAAAATGTGTACTATTATTATTATTATTATTATTATTATTATTATTATTAGGTTGGCTATTTATACTATCAATGGATGTGTGATTTAGTACCGTGAGCGACAAAGTTGTACCTGTTCACCAACCTGTGAGAGTACATTAAATGATACACAGAGAGGTGCTGGCTGCTCATTGGTCGACGGGTATGAATTATTATCGTTGCATTGTGTCTGAATGGAGACAGTAAAACATCTCGGTTCAAGGTCCACTTACCAACATCACATTTATCAGCCACATACACAATAACCATAAAAACATGGTGAGATAATAAATCACTTAAGCTGTAAACGACTTTGAACCTCTCGGGTTAATATTAATGTGTTTATCTATCGCAGACTGAGTCAGTTAACCTTTATACAGACCTGGGAATATTTAATACTTATTTTATACGAACTATCATGTTGTCGATGAGTCAAAGGTCTGAAGTTGAGAGTTAATCGTGTTTTCTTCAGTATGGTCCTCATCATGATGAATATCTATTTTACATTATCTGTCAAAATCCCAAAATGTTTTGTTGCAGTTTAGTTTGACTTTATTTCTAAAGATAAGAAAAAGAATCCTTTGGTTTCTGGTCTCGTTCTCTAATGTCGTTTTATTTATGCACGACAGAATAATATTAGAAAATCTATATTCTCTTCACAGGTTCTTAGTATTTCTTACAGTGTATTCCTGGTTTGTTTTGGTTCGTACTCGTCGATACAAAACATGCAAGAGGTTATCAAAATGTGTTTATTTCCTCCTTTGTACAACTCGAAGATGTCGCCTTGAACCTTGATATAATAAATAAGAAGTCATATAAAACTGCCAGAGAGGTTTCCACAAGAACATCTGATGTCATGACAGAGCAGTTATCAAACATGTAGGGGGGGGGGGGGGTTAAAGTGGACAAACAACAGAAATACTCACAAACAGAATGTCCGTCTTCCAGCTGTATAATTTGCGTATTGAAACATTTACATAAACGTACAGAAAGAGGAATGTGTCCGGTTTGTACAAACAGAGTTCTTCATTCCTCTAATCGTACAGCACAGAGACAACAACAACAAGGTGAGGTAACATGAAACTTTTATGTAAAGCCAATGTTTGCTTTTCAGTGTCCACCTTCATGTCACTTTATAACCACAAAGATCTGCTTCAAGACGACTAAATGACTTTTCCAGATGAGCTCACAGAATAGAAACTAAAGACAAACACGGACAGATGCTCCACGGTTCTGGCTCCTCCTCCAGCTCCTCACATGTCATTGGGGCCCTTCATGCCGGAGTCCTTTGTAGGAACCGGCGACGCGACCATGGGCAGGATGCACTGTGACGACTCGCAGTAACTGTTCACGCCGGCGGTGCCGGGAGGCCCGGGGACTCCGGGGACGCCGGGAACGCCGCGGGGCCCTCGCTCTCCGTCACGGCCTTCTGTGCCGTAAGCCGCTCGCCCGGCTTCACCTGAGAGAGGAGCAGAACGTTAAAACGGATTCCTCCAAAACACACACAGTGTCTGCCCTGCTGAAGGGCCCCTGAGCAAAACAACGTTCTTACTAGCACACAGTGGGTCCCAAACACTGGGTCGAGACCCATCCGACTTGGCCTTAGTTGAATAATGCTGAGTGTGCAGCAGAGTCTAATATTGAGGACGTTTGTTCTAAACTCATATTTCTTAGTCATGATGAGTCATTACCTGGTTGACCGGGGGCACCTGGTGCTCCTTTGGGTCCTCTCGCTATGGGTCCTCTATCCCCTCTGTCCCCCATGTCCCCTGCACAGAGGACACACAATCATCACCGACAGGGAAACACATAATTGAATTTGCCAAATTTAGCCGAGAGTTGGAGCTCAGCCGTCACACCTCATGTGTTCCCTCGTTAACATTAAGATGAACCTGATTGATCCCTGAGGAGGAAAGTGGGTCAGAACAGGATATAAATAAGAACACACGACATAAAATAAAACATGACATCGTTAGCTCCCGGCCAGAAGAAACACTTGCAACTCAAACAATTGATTCTTTCAAAGATGATTAAAGGTTTGACTTCCACAGGATCACATCTGCAAACAGCTTATTCTTCCTGCAGATGCACCAATCAAATCTGTTCTCTCCCAGGACCAATTACAATACTTCAAATCAGCTTGAAACATCTCCGAGGAATTCTCTTTCAAACACCAAAAACATTACGACACGTTTCGGCATCAAGCTGCAGTTGGTTTTTAGGTCTCACATGACTATGCCGGTACAATAAACGCATTTTAAGTGTTCAGAAGTTTTACTGTGATTTCCCTGTCCACATGTATCCTCAACCGAGGAGCACCTCTGATCCATCTAATACGAGTGCTTTCAGTTCCCAATATTAAAGCCACACATGTCGTATGCTGTAAAGACTTCAAAGCCCCTTGAGGGCAAATTTGTGATTCTGGTCTGTGTGACTCTAAATGGACCATAATGTACTAAATGAACATCATGCTGTATTGAAGAAGACTTGAAACTAGAGATTGAGACCATAAACTCATGTTTACAATGTTTACTGAGGTAATAAATCAAGAGAGAAGTAGAGTCATTTTCTCATAGACTTCTATACAACCAGAGGAGCCGCCCCCTGGTGGTCACTAGAGAGAATGCAGGTTTAATACATTTCCACATGGCTTCACTCTTCTGAACCAGAGGTTGCCGCCTGGTTACGATTAAGAGACGGTCCTTAAAAAGTGTTGCTTGTCCTCCAAAATGTTTGAGGACCCCTGCTTCAGCGAATCTCAACAGTACAGACAGAAACAACCTTAAAGTCACACATCCACGCAGACCGTCTGATCTGAAACTCACCTTTGTGTCCTTTGCGACCTAATAGCCCAGATGGACCCTTCAGACCGGGCAGTCCTCGAGATCCGGTGTGTCCAGGGAAACCGTTCTCTCCGGTGGGGCCTGCAGGTCCAGGCGGGCCGGGGGGGCCGGGTATCCCAGAGATGCCGGACTCAGGCCTGCTCAGGCTAGCTGCTAGCTGGGCCAGCTGCTCTGTGACACGGGAGGACACGTTGGACGTTTATATTTGAATGCACCATTGACTAATGATCAAACATTTAAAAATAGAGTTTGGTAAAAAGGTGACAAACACTTACCTTGCATTACTCTCATGCAGACTTGTTTGATGTGTGTATCTGTTGGGGTTTTTCCCTGAACAAAAGAAAAAAAGATTGTTGACAGCGATGAGCTTTATTGGCAAACGGGGCGTGAGCTGTAACCAAATGAATCTAATCTCATAAAAGTAAAGCTGTCGTTGATGCTGAACAATGATTTATACTCTCACCAGAACTCAAAAGAATCCAGAAGAGTCCTTCACTCGAGGGAACGTGTTGCACAAACAGAACATTTTGGAGATAAAACACATCTCACCGCTGGTCCCTGCGTCCCCGGCAGGCCCGGTACCCCCATGTCGCCCTGCACGCCACGTGGTCCCGGTTGGCCCAACTTGCCCTCTTTCCCCTCCTGACCTCTGCCGCCCTCACTTCCTTTATTCCCCGTCTCTCCCGGTGGGCCCGTCTGTAATCAACAGCAGCAGGCAGACACACTGTTAACTCACGATGGGGGGGGGGGTTAGGGTTATAAACACGAAGGAAGAGGTGTCGTTCAGGAGTTGCCGTTGTTTGAAATCGTGTTGTTTAACTGATCCAGACACTAAATGTATCGAGGAGCATCAGCTTTTCATGGCAAACTCAGAATGTCCTGCAGCTGCTTCACAGTAAAGCTTACGAACAAACTGCAGTAAAGCGACAGATTAAGATCTTTACACAGTTGCGGGATGTAAACAACAATGCAAACTATATCACAAAACAAATAAGGATCTTATGAGAATCCTTCAGTCAACTGAAGCGCTGTGGTTTGGTTTGTTTAGGTGAACATACCGATCCTTTCTCTCCTGGTTCTCCTTGATCACCCTGTAAGGGAAAATATTTGTGATTTATTGCAGAGAGTTGCGAGTAAAAGGAAAAATGATGCGATCATACACGTTTATCATCACAAAGTACGAGATACTGCTGACTGCGTGAAAACAGTCAAAGCAGAAGCAGGCGTTTCAGTCGTCGATCACTCACCAGTTCCCCGACATCTCCCGGTGTTCCTTCAGCACCTGCAGATCCCTAAAATTGAAATGCATGACAGAATATTTTGGCATTTAATGTGCTGCAACTCAACACTCAACACGAGTTTTAATAACATAATATAATAACGTAATATAATAACGTAATATTGCAATCTATGAAACACACCTGATCTCCATTTGGACCATCGAGACCGACTGCCCCCTGAGGAAAAAGAACATAAGGAGCATTTGATCATGTGATACATCGGTAGCATCTGTTCTTACAGATATATTATGATATCACATGTTAGAATCAAACTGTATGCTTGTGAAGCTTAAGCTCGTCACGCTGCTTCTGTGTGCTCGTGAAGCATCTGCTCTCAGATTTATCCTCTGCTCTTGGATTTTTTTTGTGTGTGCGATAAGCCTTTCAAAATCCCACAACCAATAGAATGTAGTGTTGACCAATGCATGACCCGGGCCTCGTTGCAGGTGCGTTCACTTTACTTCTTAGAGCGTCCCTGATGGGCAGAGCCGGGTACATCCGCTCACCAAGGTTTATCATGTAGCCTACTGCCCTTGCTTTCTTTATGACTTTTGGAATAAAATGACAGTTTGTACTTTTTCTTTTACTATAATTATTAATGTTACACCAGCTACTATTGCTGGAACTAGCTTTTGTGGCAGCATGGCTCTATTAAGAGGAAGCGGAAGTTGGCTGATTGACTTCTCTGTGTCTGAAAACAGACCACGCAGAGCAGAGAAGTCTTTTAAGCTTATACCTGTATGACTCGTTTCATGTTGACATCTATAAATTCCCACCCAGGTGGCAACCGGGTCAGAAACTTAGAAGCCAATTAAGTGTCTTAAAACCTGCATTCTCTCTAGTGTCCACCAGGGGGCGACTCCTCTGGTTGTATAGAAGTCTATGAGAAAACGACTCTACTTCTCTCTTGATTTATTACCTCAGTAAACATTGTAAACATGAGTTTATGGTCTCAATCTCTAGTTTCAAGTCTTCTTCAATACAGCATGATGTTCATTTAGTACATTATGGTCCATTTAGAGTCAAACAGACCATAAAGCAGGGGATGCTTTAGGGCGGGGCTACTGTGATTGACAGGTCGCTACCACGGCATTGTCCGATCTGGGAGTTGTCTGTGTTTTGGTCCTACAGCTTTGACCCTTTCACAGTGTGTTTTCACTTCATGAAAGTTAATTGTAACTTTTTTGGTCGCCGAAAAAGATCTTATTCATTTTTCAAAAAAACAATATGGCGACGGCCAAAATGCCAAACTCGAGGCTTAAAAGCGGCAGTCCACAAACCAATGGGTGACATCACAGAGACTACATCCACTTCTTACAGTCTATGTTCCCTCCACAGCTCCACACTAATTCAACCAGAGACTGTTCTATTCAGCAGAAATAATGATACAACATAAGTACGGCGTGTTTGAACGAGACAATGTGAGTCAGGGTACATGTGAAAACAAACCTCATGTGATAGAACTGATCTAGCACCTATTGACTCCTGATTGGCTGTTGCTCTCACATGGCTTCACCTTTGTGTTCATGATGTGTCATTTTGTGTCTCTTACCCTGACGCCCTTCTGGCCATAATAACCAGCAGGGCCAGGAAGTCCGGGGACGCCTGGGTTCCCTTTACCTCCCTGTAAAAATACACACACACCCACACACACACACACACACACAAATAAACAGTTAAATACACAGAATGTACCCACACTCAAATTCATAACACAAGATCGACTGTGTGAAACATGTCCAGCTTCACATCATCTGATCTGTGAGGCTGGAAGGACCTGAAGACCCCCCCCGTCATCAAACCATCCACCCCTCACATGTTTCTGGGTGTGTGTGGGTTCTGATTGTGGTGTACAGTGGGCCAACGGGTTTCAGGCATTCCTGGGGAACAGAGAGCTCTTTCAGGGCTTCTCAGCTTCTTTTCCTGCTCTGATCCCCCCCCCCCCCGAGCTGCAGAAACAGCCCTTTGGCCGTTGGATTTGTGTAACAAGAGGCCATTCATGCCCGCTCACCGGCGGATTACAGACTTAACTGCAGCCACAGAAGTTCAAAAAAGACCTGCCACTCTTTAATGAAAGCATGGCACGAGGCTTCAGTTCCCAGATACAAGGTTTGTCTTGGTGAACGATTCTCGTGTTGAATAATACGTTCAGGATAGGAGTTGGTATTTATGAACACTGATGGCCTGCTTTGTATTTCGGGGCCCTGATCTCTTAGTTTGATATAGAGCCGAGGTTTTGCAGTAGAAAGGTTCAGCGGGCACTTTAGCCCTGGGCTGTCAATCACGTCTATGGAATTATTATGTTTTGAGTTTAGCTTCTAAATATATATATTTTTAACTGCTTCACGATCCATCCATGGTCTAATCTCTTCCCATAACAGTATTACTATAATCCGGTTGTTTTCCTCTCTGGTTTAATGAGCTCTTCCAAAGAAGGAATGTTGTTGACGCCCACAGTTTGTTCGCCATCTCAGAAACGTTGTGGACAGATAGGAGTTGACCAGTTGATTATATCTTTATAATTATATCAATACCCTTTTCTTCATATTTGTGATTCAGGTTTTTTATCCATGTGTCATTTATAACATTCATATTTATGTAACAAACAGAGAAAGAGAGTTTGTAAATCCTGTGTCTGCAGGTTTAAGAAATGAATTTATCTTAAGATGTACGTGTGTGATCGATACCAGCCCATAATGAATGGTAGAACAGTAAATAGACAAGCTTGTCTTAACTTCATGAACATCATGAACAGTCGTTTTCTTTGTTTTAACATAACAAAAGCCATCATTTCACAGAGAGATGCATGACTTACAACTAATGTTTGGAGTACCACAGGGTTCTGTGCTGGGGCCACACTACTTTTCTGTGGACTTGATTAGGGTCAAATGTATTATTCTTTATTTGTTATAACTAAGGATGTAGTTAATTGCCAATATTGTATAGTGGAAAATGTGGCTTTTATCTACATTATGAGTTGATGAACATAAGCAGATTTTACACCTGGTTTTATGCATCTGATGGAGACTTACTTTCATGTAGCACACTTGCTCTTGTAATTATGTATTGCTGCCTTGTTATTTTTTTCCCAAGAGTTTTCCACCTAGTCTCAACCTACTGCTCTGTGATTGGCTAGTACTGTCTAATACCACTGCTCTGTGATTGGCTAGTACTGTCTAATACCACTGTGCTGTGATTGGCTAGTACTGTCTAATACCACTGTGCTGTGAATGGCTAGTACTGTCTAATTCCACTGTGCTGTGATTGGCGGGTTATCTGGTGATAGCAATGTGCTTCCCCATGCTGTGACAAGATCATGAACAACCCTCTTTGTTGTGGATGAAGTTGTTGAAATTCCCCCATTTAACGTTTGGCTAGTTAGCTAGCTAGCTTGCTAACTCCACAATGCTTTCATGCTACACTGGTTACTGAAAATGAGTTGTACAACGTTGTCCCTCATCTGGCGATTGCAATGTGCTCACCGACGCTGTGACCAGAGGGTGTGACAAAATGATTTGCATAATCACGCTGAACACTGTTTTCTGGGAAACCCACTCCGTATCATCTCTGTTTCCAGCTGTTGATGTTACTTCTGTAAAATCTCTACCGTCGCGTCCTCCTGTGCAGTGATTTCATCCTCTGACACTGCGTCAGTCATTGGCGTGGTGTTCAGGTGTAGGGGGAGATCTTATCCCTGATACTAGACAGTCTTACCCTGGGTCCTGGTGATCCTAGAGGCCCGCCATGCCCTCTCTCTCCTCGTCCACCCTGAAAGAGAGAAAAGAAAATTATAATGCGGATAGAAAACACAAATAGATGCCTAAATGTATCAAATCACAATGGAAAGAAATATTTAGTTTAGCTTTATTAATGTGTTTTCTGTTGTTTACTGTGGAAACTGACAGTGTGACAATGAAGCAAAATGTAATTAAATACTATATTTAAAAAAATTATATTTCCAATTTGCGCTGCCAATCTAAATGATTTTAGATACAGTTCTGCTGTTTTGGCTTTTATCTGTTTTTATGTCACACTGTGTTTTCTGTGGTCAGCTTTGGCAAACTAAAGTTCCTTATTTGTTTGCATTGTGTCGTATCAGATGGTGCAGAAGTATAAGACGATGCAGTGTGGCATGATGAGAACACTGCACATCGATCCGGTTGATCCTCAAGTCAGTTTTCCTTTTAATCTTGCAGACGAAGGATAAATCATGTCAATAACCCTTCAGAAAGATGTTCCTTATTAACCTGCTTGAATCAGACTTTGACCATCTTTACACGATCTACTAAATGCAACCTTCTGACACAAAGCTATTGTCAGTCTGCGTCCTGTGAGTGTGTCATGATGGAGCTACTGGACACACAGCAGGAAATCAGTGTTTGGGTTAGAAGCACTGAGGAACATTCAGATGTTTTGCCTCAGAGGCCTCTGGGACTCCCGCCGCCTCATCAGGATGAGTGACGGGTGCCGGGGGCAGGAAGTGAAACCTGTTTCCTGTCCCAGGAAGTTAAACTGTGTCTCGCAGATTTAAGTGAAACGTAGATGCAGCTGACTCACTGGTCCTCCTCGGGCTCCGACCGGTCCCACTTCTCCCTGATCGCCTCGCTCGCCCTGGAAGCAAATACAACATCAAATCAGATACTTATCAGAGCTTCGGAAAACACATGTCAGTGGCATCGGTTTGTACTTCAAGTGAAGCTTGAGACGAGGAATTTATCCAATTCTTAAGATATCTTAAACCAGTTAAAATCCAAAGACCACATTTAGTTTTCGTGAGGTTTTTACAAACTTACTCTGAGGCTCTTGTTTTAAAATGTAATTATTTTTACTGTCACACAATGTGTTTCAAGCTGCTTTAAACTTACTTGTTTCCCCGGAGACCCCATCAGTCCTACAACACCTGGATCACCTGTGGTACCCTGGTGACAGAAAGAGAAAAACAGTTTATTTGACTTTAAAAATATCGGACACTCTAGAAATAGTCATGAGTAAAAGTTGTAGTTTTGGAATCAATATAAAAATGGGATCGTACCACTACACCACTGACTCCTTTCTGTCCGTAAGCGCCTGGCAAACCCTACATGAAGACAGTGATATGAAACATCAACAGATCGCTCACACCGTTAATGACTCAGGGATGCTTTTGGGTCAGGGGTCACACTTACAGGAAGTCCTTGTGGGCCAGCATCACCTGGAGCCCCATTCTTTGCTGTGAGACCCTAAAAAAACAAAACAGAAACAAATTACATACGTCCTATCTAAAAGCACATTTCATAAACAAACAAAAAAGATCTACGACTGTAAAAGATATAAATAAATGGTCGGTAGTTACCTTGGATCCTGGCAGACCAGGTATTCCATCACGGGCATCTGGACCAGCGAGGCCCTGTGGACCGGAAAGAAGTGAGGTTTACGTAGATAATCACACAAAAGTGTCTCTCAACAGAACAGCATATAATATAAGATACTGTTCATAAAGTGGCATTATGGGAAGATTAATAAGTTATTATGTTGGAAAAAATGGTTGTAAAGAAAGACAGTGGATGAGTGAATAGGAAAGCAGCAGGACAGTCGTTATCTATTGATTGATTGATTGATTGATTGATTGATTGATTGATTGATTGATTGATACGATGAAGCGGTGCTCACAGGCTCTCCGTTTGGTCCCGGCACTCCACTGATTCCAGACGGACCTCGATCCCCCTATAAAGAATAAAACCAAGAAGGAAGCGGAAACATATTGAATTCATGACATAAAACTCAAGTAACACATGAGAAGGAGAAACAAAAGAACAGTGAGTCATTGAGAGAGTTTTATGAAGGCGGTTGATACATTTCTTTAAAACAGTAATTGGTTCAGAAATCTAGAACTCTACAGCAGCTCGATTACGTCATCGCTTCCTGTGTGTGAGATCTTACCTGCACTCCCGCTGGTCCGGGCTCACCTATGGCTCCTCTTTGACCCAGGTCGCCCTAAAAGATGTCATCAGTCGTTTTTTATTTCGTATCAGTATTTATGTCTTAATAACAACAGAGGTGAGACAAAGACGGGGACTCACTGGGCCTCCCTGGATCCCCCGAGGACCTCCATCACCTGGTATCCCACGAGGTCCCTGATGGAGACGGAAACAATTGTTGTAGTCAGAAAAAGTTGAATTTGTCGAGGAAGTTTTAACAAAACCTTTCTTCAATTAAAAGATATATTGTGTCAAGATATCAGGATTGAATTTATGTAAATGTAGAGCGTGCATGTGGAGCTGTGACATAACGACTAGTTTCCTACGTGTTTCTTCATCCAGAACAGACAATTCAGGCATCTTATATGACGTCATATCATGTTGAATGCATTCTATTATGAGCTTTTATTTTGAAATGTCTTGGATGGACATTTAGGAGGTTGGCTGGTCCTGATTGGATAATTGATATGGAGGCTGTTTGTATAAAGTTTAGACTCTTCTTGTAGATCTTTCTGTTGGATGAAACATAATGAAGGTTTTCTGTATTGTTTTATGATTTTACGACTTCATGTTTGACCACTCTTACCCGGTCTCCTTGGGAGCCAGTTATTCCTTGGAGACCTCTTGATCCACCTTGGCCCTAAAATCAGTCAGCGGGTAGAAGGAGAAGAGACAGAACCATGTTGATGTGTTTGACTGTGAGGAGGAGACATCTCATTGTGAAGCATGCTGAGAGAGAATGGTGGAATATTTTACTGGTAGTCCTTGAGCTCCAACTTCACCCAGCAGTCCTTGTTCGCCTTCCTCTCCCTGAAAGAGAATGTAAGTTATGTCATGCTGTGACAAACACACATCCATGTTTTCACCTGCTCTCTTTTACTTGAGCGTCATTTACTGCAGAGAAGCTGCAGAGAAAGCTGCCTCATACCTTTCTAGAAACATATTCTAGAAATGTTGTCTCTGCAGCTTCTCACTTGTGAACAATATCTTTGTTATCTGTTGCAGGAATAGATCAAAGAGGCTGTGAGATGTTACCTTGTGTCCTTGTCTTCCGGGCTCACCAGATTCCCCTTTAACCCCCTTGTGGCCCTGCAGACAGACAGGAAGCAGAGATGGAATCCAATCATCGTGTTGCAAGTCACGAGAAGGTCTTTGCACTTAAGTCCCAGGTCCTGAACTATGAGTTTAGAGTCTTAAACAAGTCTTAATGTGCTATTCACCAAATGTAAAGAGCGCAATTTTCCGCCCACACGTTTTGCAGACTGGGATTTGCTTTTTGTTTGCCACCGCGTAGTTTCTGTACGCAAACAAAATTATCTTTGACATCTTTTCAGTAAAGTAATGTCAGTTTTTTTTAATCTTGGGCCTTTGAGGAAGAAGTTGTCCAAAGTGAAGTCACGAGTCGTTGGAAGTTAAAGTCCAAGTCTAGTTGCAAGTCTTTGTTGTTGTTGTTCTCTAGTCGAATTTAACGTGATCAAAATTGTGACTCGAGTCCAAGTCATGTGACTTCTTGTAAGAAGTGACATTTATCTATAAGATGCGTTTAGTGGAAACAGGACAATGAGAAGGTGCTGATGAGCAGTTAACGTGGGACCAAACTGAGATCAGCCTCCGTGACATTTCACTCACTTTCATGCCGGGGAGACCAGAATGTCCATTGAGTCCAGCGGGGCAGGCGTTGGGACACTGAAAAACACAACAGCCTATTTGAGGTCATGGAAGAGCCCTGCCACTAGGGGGCTCCACTGTCCAGGGACCCCCATGAGCTCGCAGAGAACGCAATGAACAAATGCTTCTGATGGTTTACTACAATTTGTTCCTGCTTTACTTTACCGTTGATGATTATAAGACAATACCTACAGCCGCGTGAGGTTCAATTTAATAAAGGTTAGTTTGAGTTCAGGCATTAATGACGATGTGCAGTCTCAGATGTCTGAGCTTTCTACGAGCACCTGAACACATCACTCTGGCTGTCAGTTATATTACAACACAACAATTATCGAACTTAGACCTAAAAAAAGTTATTTTGAAATCAGATAAATAACATATGCTGACTTTGTGGTGCTATGTCAGCCATGTTTTTTGGTTTTATTCTTCTTCCTATCAACTGTGAATCATCCAGAATACTCTTCATTCTCACAGTTTAAAATGTAGCAGAGTGTACAGTTGTAGCATGTTTAACATTATACCAAGTGCTTTTATTTTGACGAGGGAAAAAAGTCAGTTTTGTTGAAATGGTTGAAAAAGAACCTCCTTTGGGATCTTACCAGGTCCTCGCCTTGATACACACCCGGAGGACCCTAGAACACAAACACGCTCACATGAACTTTAAATCATTCATTCGGGAGATTTTCATTTTGTTAACAAATAAGAAACATCACTCTGAAACTTGTATGAGTTGTTATCCGACCTTTAACCTCCCACAGTGTCCCGCCCGCTCATTGAGAGTCAGTGTTTATCTTTATAATATTTGAATCATATTTACCCGCGGCCCAGCAGCACCAGCAGGACCCACTTGACCTCTCTTGCCTCTTGCTCCCTGTGAGAGATTTGAGAAGATCAACAGCTGCCCTCATCGACACACATCATTTACATCTTCTGTTCTTTTACTTCATGTCAAGGTAAGACCTTTTAAAACGTGTTTATTGCTTAGCTTTATCATGTTTACAGTGTACAGTGTACACTTTACATACTAAAATCATACGTGTACTCACAGGTGTTCCAATTTTGCCCAGTTCCCCTGGCAGCCCGTCGGTACCCGGGATGCCCTGTCAGCAAACAGCAGAACACGAACGTCTGATGAACAATCTGATGCAATAAAGCCTCTAAAACACTGAAGCAGATGCACGTTCTTTAATATATGTATTATATATGTGTTATATATTAATACAGTGGTACTACCACAGAGTAGTAATACTCAGCTACTATGTACATTTACTCCACGACAATTCAGAGGAAGTATTTTACTTATACAAAAATATAATCGACAAAATAATGATTTATTATTATTATAGGATGAAATAAGATTAGGATTACCAGCTGCATGATTAAAGTGATGCACATATTAATCCGTCAATACTTATATATAAATAATACAATATATATTATTCTGAAATGAGCAATTCTGCATAGTGAGTACTTTACCTTTAACTTTTGAATGCAGGAGTATTTCTACACTGAGGTATTACTACTTCTACTTAAGTAACAGATCTGAATGATTCTTCCACCACTGTTAACTTCTTATCAATGTGAAAGATAACGATAAATAAACAGATTAAAGGACCAGTGGGATTACATCTCACAGAAAGGACGAATATCTTTTACTGCTCAGCCCGTCATTAGCAGGAGATGACGTGCACGCTGCTATATCTGTATCCCCGCTGTGGTTAAGTGATAATATCAGCAACTGTAGAACAACCTATGGAAGCGAACTGTAATATATGTATATATATATGTACACCCTGACAACACTGTATATGTTGTGTATATACTCACATCCAGCCCATCAGGTCCGACACCCTGTGAGAGAAATCAGGGATTCACGGTGTCAGACTGAGACGGATCGATCAACAGAACCAATAAAAACAATCGGGTGATCAGCGTTCAAATGGAGCTGAATGCCTATTTCATTGATTGCATTACTTGTGCTGACACGGCTAAATTCAGTGTATAGCTTAACAATTTCACATACATTTGTCATACTGTGACATATTTATAGATTTCAGAAAATATCCTTTTAATATCATGAAAGGATTTAAACCCAGCTGTAATAACGTGTGTACGGGTTATTTAAAACACAAAAGTAAGCCGTTGCAAGAGACTAACAAGACTAATATGTTTTCGTCTGCAGATCAGCTCTTCAACTTGCTGTTTATCATCAAATAAATGACATTTTGTGTTTATTATCTTATGTATCCAAACTCTCCCACAGATTGCACTATTGATAGAACTAGGGCTGCAACTGATGATTCATTTCATTACTGATTAATCTGCCAATTCTTTACTTAATTCATCCATTAAATGTTTGATCTGTAAAATGTCAGAAAATAAGACAAATGTTCATCCAGCTCAATATCTTGTTCAGTTTAATATGATATAAAACATAGAAAATCAGGTCGTCGGCATATTTGAGTCGCTGAAAACTTTTTTGCAGAGAAAATGATGATGATTATTATGGGATGTAATTACCATTTCTCCAGAAGGCCCATGTGGCCCAGAATCTCCCTGAAAAGAAACAACAACAAAACCGTTGAATTTGACAGATATAGAAGAATATACATTTATTCAACAGAGAGATTGATCCAGCAGAATGCAGCAGTAATAATCTTACTTTTGGTCCCTTGAGGCCCACTGTGCCTGAACCTCCAGGAGGTCCAACAGGTCCCTAAAGATGACGTTAAAAAAACACAATGATGAAAACAAATGCTTTAAATACAACATTCAACAAAGTTCAGCGTTCACACATTGTTTTTATGTTGAGAGAATAATATGTGTTGAAATTGTTGTTAATAATTATGATAAAGTCATAATCAACCAACGTTAACAAAGATTCAAGTCTAGAGACACTGTTCACCACTAGTACGTGATATCTGTTGTGCAAATGAATGAAAGCACTTTAGGTTCTGTGTCTGATAACTTCAGATATTGTGATGTCGACTGTATTACAGGTAAATAATATAATCTTGGACAGATCGCTGCCTGCAGAAGAACACCACAGTTGAATTATGTGATTCGTTATGACTGCGAAGGGTTAAAACCAAACAACCGAACACCGGGGACCCAAAACTTAGTTTTGGGCCTTTTTGTTTTTTGTCGGTTATGATAATTTTACTCACCAAAGTCATTTCTGGGAACGCTGCAATAATCAACAAGCTACAACAAAGCCGATAGGACAGGAAACAGGAAGAAGGGGTTGTTGTTGTAAACAAGCCAACAGTTTAGCTGGATCATCTGAACGTCTTCTACTCAACCTGAACCCCACGGATCCTGACAAAGTATCTGGTTTTGGGTCATGTTCAGGTTTCCTGTTCGTCTATGTTAAATGTAATTTCATTATGAAACGTCTCTTTATCTCTCTGATTGAGCCAATCCTCTGTGTCCATGTGTGTAACGTTGGCAGCACCAGTAAACTCCATTTAGACCCACTCAGATCTCTATTTTATTTGCAGGTTTATCTCGAAAGCGAGTGCAACCAAACTGCTCGATCTGACCGGGAGTTCATTTTAGAACTGGGCTTTGAATATGTTGGGCTAACCTGGGAGCTTCATTACAACATGCTCGTGTTTCTCTCAGGATTCCCAGATCTCTGCATCTAATTTGGTGAGAAGTTTGCCATAATTATTGACCTAAAATCAAAATTATGGAAATAAGTCGTAAAAAATACAACAATAAATGATCCTCTTGAATCAAGACATGAATTCAAAGTTGGGAAACTTCCTCTGATTACTTCCTCTGCCTGCGTTCATCTTTGGAGACTAAAAAGATATACCAGGAGGAGGCGTGGCCTTCCTTCCATTAGCTCCTCCCCTCACCTGCCTCCCCCATAAATAACTCTCAGAAACACACTGCACCTGGTCAGAGGCCTCAGGAGGACAGGAAACAGGAAGAGAAGCAAACAGTACACACAGTAACGAAGCTGTGTACTTATCTGGTGTATTGTATGCTGCTGTAGGTGTAGAAATCTCCTCCACGTCTTCTCACCAAGTAACATTTTTTTGGGGCTTTTTCCACAAGTTTCAATCCACATGAAGCTCTGAATCTGTTCTCAGCACCGTCACCACCGCAGACACACTGAGTCCATTCTGCACCACCTTCTCCCAGCACGCGGCCCGTACTTGTCTCTGGTGCAGCCGACCCCCCCCCCTCCTCCCTCCCTCAATCTCACACAAAAAGGACCCCTGTTCCTGTCAGGAAGCGACTCGAGACTCTCCCCTAAATAGATGGTTTATTCAAGGAACTCTCAGTGGAAGCCAAGACAAGCTGCTCACACAGCAGCAGCAGGTCTGAACAGCTCAGATCTTACAGAGATTCAACACGTCCTCTTGTTGGAGACTTTAACCTGCAGATCCAAAAACACCACGTGTGGTACCTTTCTAACCAGGTACCAGTCTGTGCCGAACACTGTTGCTTCACTTACATCTGCGCCCGGAAGGCCTGCGGCTCCTGCAGCTCCGTCTCTGCCGTTGTCACCATCAGGACCCTGGAAGCAGAAAGTTCACCTCACGTCTTAACACCGCTCGATCGGGAGCAAAGTCAGCAAATCATCTCACACTTCTGCACGTGACGAGAGAAAATGAAAAGTGCACTCACTGGTCCTCCGTTCACCGTGGAGTCGTCTCCTCTGTCGCCCTGGAGATGCACGAGGAACATAATCAGACGAGGAGGAGGAACTAAAGAACCTTTTGAAGACAGTGTCTCCCATTGAGGACCCTCAGGTCCATTTCTTGATTAGTCTTGGAATTAACCTGGCATGTGTTAAATTCTGCTATTTAATAAAACACACGCATGCTTCATATTTGAGCTTGATTCCAATATTTCTATTTTGTAACTGATTCAGGATCTTCTCCACTAAAATGTGATCCCTGGACGTGTGCAAAGGACTTTGAACTTTGAAGACCTTGTTGATGAGAATATGCCAAAATAAAAAGAACCTGAACTACTAACTTCTTGGTGCATTGTGGGTATTTTAACTCATGAACTCCTGATTATGGTTCTGTTGTTCTATATTCAGGGACTAAGAAAAATCATGATCACGACACATATACGAGTTTATTTGATGGGGTTTTGAAATAATTTCCAGCTCATACTGCAGCATTTAATCTAATAAAGCAACAGCTGCTCAGTAACTCTTGTTAGGTCGATTAATCTCGGAGCAGAACGTGATTCTGTTCGTATCAGGATGAAGTCACGTGAGGACCTTTTCATTCCCAAAGGACGTCATCGTTAAAACAACTCAACCATTAAAAAGCTGCTTCGCTGAGCTGATTAACCCAGAAACACACTGATCCACAGCTTCAGTCCCACATCTAGAAGTCTAAGACTCAACCGGCGACTCACATCAATGCCGTCCACTCCGGGCACGCCTGCTACTCCGATCGGCCCCTGGGGGCCTCTGGGACCGACCGGGCCCCTCTGCAGAACAAACACACACATAAAAAAAAAAGAGAAAATGTCACTTTTTACTCTCACTGAACTTCATCTCTAGATATGTTCCAGAGCTGCAGCTCACACAGAGTCTCATTGTTCGGGTGATGTGAGGGGAAAGGTCAGGGAACTGAACCTGGTTCCCCATTACAGTCCCATTATACCGGCATGTGTTCAGATTACTGGTGCTGACGGGACCTGATTGGTTCCAGGTGTGTACACTGGGATGAATGGACCCCAGTTTGGACCACTTCTTAGATAAACTTCATAAAGTAATTGAAGTCTTTTTGAATAATAGCATTGAATAATGCTGTTTTTTTGCTGAAAAAACACCTCAAAGTCCCTAATTCAACGTTCACGTGTCACTTAGTGATTTTATAAATGGCTCGTTTGATAACGTGAAATCAACAAACATGGTCAAAGAAAATCCAATACTAAAACCATAAATTAAAGTACACTTGAGTCCCTAAAAAGATGTTCTCAACAAGACTCAAAAAGATTTAATAAAGATGGATATTAAGTAAAAGCACGACAGCAACACACACAGGTCATTATAACAGGGAGTATATAGTGAAGAATAGGAGGAAATAAGTTCAGTGAGGTACATTAAAGTCTACTTTGAATAGCAAAAATAGGCTTTAAGTGCCAACAGGAATATAAAATATGATACCACAAGAGATTCACCATAATGTCACAAATACAAACTTACTTTTAAGGATCATACGTTTGCCTCAGATTCTCAATTTGTTAATCATTCGTACGCTTCGGAAGTAAAAGGACTATACAGTAGAATAAGCTCTCTATAAATTCCTCACTGGAAGGAATAACACAGGACCATGCGATGGAGAGAAAGAGCACCTTCATCTTCTCACCTGAGCCGAGCACATCAGCACGATCTGCAGCAAAATCACCAGCAAAGACTCTCGACAGATCCAGGAGAGAGCCATGGTCTTCCCAGGGCCGAGGAAGACGCTAAAAAGTCCCTTTTTCCCAGATTAGACGGGGCTCACGGACGGTCCACCTGTCAGTCTCCCCCCTGTCTGAAACCCCTCCGCCTGCTGGAAGGGGAGGACGTTAGGAAGTCCTGATTATTCATAAGCAGCTGAGGCTAAGCAGGAGGGGGGGGGGGGGCTTCTCTATACGAACAGGGTGGAGTGTACTTTACTCTGAAATTAAATTGAATGTGATGCCTTAGTCAGTAGAAAGTGACCGCTACAATAAAACGTTTGGTATTGTCCTTCATGGCTTCAAGATTTAATCCAAAGCTTTTGTTAAAAACTGTTTAAAAAAGGGATTTAGAGGAGAAACGGGGCGTTATTGTCGCATGTTCAGTTATTTTTAGGTTTATTATCATCATCCAGGATCCAGCTGCTCGACAGGCGGACAGCAGGACAGAGATCAGGACTCTGGTGGACCAGAGGAGGACTCTGTGTTCACACCATGGTGCTCCGTCCTCAAACATCAGTCAGAGTTGATGCACAATGTTTTCCTCTTTTTAATTTTTAACTGAACTCATTTTACAACTTTGAAACTTTCAAAGTTCATTAAGCGAGTTGGTCCAACAGCTGTTGTCTTGGTGCTGCGTTCCCTACCTGTAGTCAACAACTAAACACCGTATCCAGTGATGTTATCGTCATGAACACACCAGTTAAAGGCCTCCAACTAGCTAACATTGATATTTACTGCCTGTTTGACTGCTAACTGTTAGCCTAACTCGCTTTAAGGTTGGCTTGCTCATCAACTGTTGAATTAGATTGTTGCAGCAACACAAGTTGGTCGTCAGAAGTTGCTTCAAAATGTTTTTGTATGTTTTCTTGAACAAATTTACTTTTTGTTTTTTTAGGAAAACGTCTGTCCCTCCAGCTTCATCTCACACGGTGAGCCATAGAAAAATACCTTTTCATAAGGGATCCATATTCACGTTGCATTAAACTACGTCTTGTTCTGTGCTGCAGCCTAAACCTCGGAGGCTTTACGTGCCGAACACGTACATCGTGCCGACAGAGAAGAAGAGCTCGGCCCTCTGTGTGAAGATCAGGAACTATGAATTTTAGATACTTGTACCGATTGTTTTTTGTATAAATGGTGTTATTTATTGATGATTTAAACATTTAACATAATAAAACACATACAGAATATATTACAGGCGATCTTGTGTCTTCTACGGGACGTCTTGGTAGGGCAGCTTGTACGGGTACAGAGGGGTGTAGCGCTGGTCGTGCCAAAGCAGCTTGTCCTCCAGAAACTTCAGTGTTTCCAGAGTGAGGACGACGGCTTCGTGTTTCAGCATGCTGTGGACGTTCAGTCCTGACAGAGAACAGAGGAAATAAAACTTAAGTCTTCTAAGGCTGTCCTGAAAAAGGTTGATGCAGCTGCCAACTTCTTACATAATGACGTCCAGAAGAAAGTGATCTTCTCATCTTAGTTTGCACATTACATGGAGGTCACGCTCTCCTTGCAGACTGTTTTCAGTGGAACTTTCAGTACCAATGCAACTCACTACCAATAAAATACCAAAAAGTAGCGTCACGGTTGTGGCTCCACAGCTTGTGTGACATCAGAGAGAAATAACTCACCGATTGCTGGAATAATGTTCACCGTCTTCAAACTTGCCGTTGCCTGAAGGATGTTTTCAGGAAACTCTTCACATCTGAAAGCAGCAACAACATCGTCAGCACTCAGCAAAGCACAAAAGTAAAGTTTGTTCTTAAGCCGAGCTGATGATACTCACACATCGACTATTAGCACCGACTCTCCCCAGTGTTTCTCTCTGATGAGGTCCAGCAGGTACTGAGGGTCGGGTGTGGGGATGTTCAAAGAGTCCACGATGTGAAGGTAGTCCTGCAACAACAAAAAAACAGCACCAAAATAATCAGAACACTTGATTAGCAGTTATTTTTGTGTTATTTTTATGACTCAAAAGTGCAAAACGTTCACTGGTTCCAGCTTCTCAAATGCTTTTCTTTGTCGTGAAAGACAAAACATCCACAACATGTTGTTGTGTTTCCCGATGTTGGATATTGAATTACTTTTTTCTAGATGGGGTTTTTAGGGTTAGCAGAAATAGCCCCAAGAACAGTAAAGACACGACGACGCATCAAGTCCACGGGTCTGATGTACCTGCGCCATCTTGGAGCTCAGAGCCACTTTGAGTCCTTGAACCCGAACCTTCATGGGTAACATGTAGTAGTAGCCGGTCGGCCCTCTGGGTCCTTTGGCGACCCCGCCTGAGAGAGAAACACACCAACACGTCAACTCAGACTCCCGCTGAGAAACAACCTGAGAATCACTCCAGATGAAACGATTGCAGGAAGAAGAGCAGCTCGTTATTTAATGTAGTTTCTAACGATGAAGAGATTTACACAACAGATACAGATTTTGTTGATTTTAGCATTTGGACGTTCTTGAGGACAGCGCTGCATATCCCACCCTGTGAATCACTTCACTAGAATTAGAAAGGTGACACGACTACTCATTGGTTGCAGTATAGTATGTCGAAATACTGATAATACAGTATGTGTGGTATGTCGAAATAATAATAAAAAAAGATAGAGTATGTCCAAAAAAGCTCATGAAAAAAGTAAAAAACAGCTGACATTTAGCTGATGAATAAAGAACCACAGTCACCTCCTTTCCATATCGGGGATCGGATGCTTCCATGGCGAGCTCGTCCACTTCCTTTCTGGTTCCATGGTTTCCTGCCTCCACCTCTGACCTCTGACCTGATCTTTGTGTTGGCGTGGCTCTGAGATCAAAACGACCGTTAGTGACGTGGATATTAAAACGACCGTTAGTGACGTGGATATTAAAACGACTGTTAGTGACGTGGATATTATCTTTATGAATATTGATAAACTGGACAGAATGCAGTAGGTATTACACTGTAGCAGTCAGACATGAATGAACAATTACAGGTAATTTCTTTCTGTCTTTGTTTCATTGAAAATGTAGTTTCATAAAAGCAAATAATAATAATAATAATAATACATTATTCTTATAAATATGGAGTGGAAGCTGAAGCCTGAACATAAACAAATGACCTTTAGAAATGAGTGAATCTAACTCACAACTCTCTTGAAGTTTTTCTGCCATATTTCCACCTGGTGGAGAATATCGAGCCTGAGAGGAAACAAACACACGGATTAACTGAGACTTCCCTTTAGTGGCGGGATGTAAAGGTTAGAGTTGTTGTTTCATTAGAAACTAACAACACTCTCCGGGTGAAAGATTACCTCGGAGGCACCGCGAAGACATCCGGGTGGAGCTCAGCCAAACCCAGCGGCTCGCCGTCCCGCCTCTCCAGAGTCTCCACCCACGCCTGGACGGCGCTCCGATGAGCGGGAACGACGGCGTCGCACTTCCTCAGGAGAGGCAGTGAGCAGTCTGCAGGAGGAGGAGGCCGCTCTGCAGGAGGAGACACGACACAGACAGTCAGACGGGGCTGCAACTACGGATCAGCGTCTAGTCTGAAAGATTTCAGATCTGCCTCCCATAAATAAAGACTTAAGAGGTTAAACATCCGTAGATCGATGAGTCAGAGATTCCTTCTGAAGGGAACGAGCATTTGAAGGAAATATCGTAAACTCATTACAGAGAACAGTGAGTTATTGAGCAATGGTGACGTTTGATTCCATAACAGGATTTCTGACCATGCAAAGTAGTTTATTAATAAAATGTTGAGATATTTATTTATTCAACAGATGGTGCAACCAAACGTTTTGATCGATGTACAGAGCTATCTAAGCTTATCTATTTGTAATTAGAGGCGCTGAGTGATCAGACCTCTTAGAGGTGTTGATGCAGAACTATTTGTTGTACGAGACAGGGTTTCAATGATTGTGTTGTTTTAGTCTGAGTGTCGATGGTGAGTCTTGTTCGTGTGGACGTCAGCTCTTCAGTGCAGTAAATACATTATGTGGACCACAGGAAGAGCAGCTACTGTTGTTGTCTAGTGAGGATCTACATGAACAGTTGAGATGAGTCTGATCTCACAGGAGAACAGCTTCTAGATATAAAATCTGAATTCAAAGACAAAAACTGTTCTGGACAAAACACAATATTTGATTGTTAGGATCAAATTAATGTGAAGATATTAAAATATCAAGTGAAACAACAACACGCAGCTGACACGTTCAGACTGAATCCACATTTACAGCAGTTTCAACCCACTTAGTCTGGAAGGATCCACCAGGTTGGTCGGCAGCAGCAGATTGGGAGGCAGAGCGCTCTCACTGCAGAACGACGAGGCGAGCTGAGGAGCAGACAACTAGTTAGTGGAGCAGATTAAAAAACACACCACAAGTAGAAATCTGATAACATTCAGAAGGACCTGATAATACTGCATCAATCTACTATAAATATATATTTAAAATGTTTTACATAGGACGACATCTGGATCTAAGAGTGGTGTCTTGTTTACTTTGTCTAACTATCAAACACACACCTGTAGGTTGACAGGTGTGCAGGAGAATCCATATAGAACATATATTTAACCTGATGAAGGTCTATGGACCAAAACATTGTTTTCTAATATCTCTGAATGCAAGTGAAGAGGAACGTGTGCAGGAGACATTTCATTTGTTCAGCACTAAACTATAGTTATATAGCGCTTAAGAGAAATACGTCATCAATTAATAAAAAATAAGTGATTCAAAATGATGTAACTGATTCATAGAAATGACTAAATATAAGTTAATATTTCAGGGTTTTAGTCTAAATATTTAACATGAGATTAAAAGATTCAGTCCGTTCTTCTTGTTCATATTCCACTCTGTTTATCACTTAAAATCAGATGTCACATAGGTTTGTGATTATTAAACATGAGTGTAACGTCTTATTCAGCTGATTAAACGTATTACTCACCCTTTTAACGACTCCTCTGCCGCAAACCACCAGCGTACAACGAAGCATTTCGGGTCTGTTGTATTTATAAAAGTCTCACAAATACACTTAAAACATCTTAAATCATTATTAAATGCACATTATAAACGAACTCGAGCCGTTTTGAAGCACTGAAAAGGTCGCGGTCGCGTTTTTTTCCGTGTGGTGGTGTGTCGGCGCGTGTTGATGACGTAGACCGGGCACAGTCGTGACAACGGCTGCGGCCCCTAGTGGCTGGAGGTAAAAACGTCAGCCAAGACTGTTCAAAAACAATGATGCAGATTTCAAATAACATGTTTCTTAAAGGATATTATTTAAGTCTATCTTAATACAACACTCACAGGCCTACATTGACATTTAAACTAGTTATTGTTAGTGGTGGAATGTAAGTAAATTCACTCAAGTACTGTATTTAAGTGAACATTTAAGGTACTTGTAATTTACCTGAGTATTTCCATTTATTGCCACTTTCTACTTCTATTCCAATACATTTCATAGATAACTATTGCACTTTTGACTGCACTACATTTGTCTGACAGCTATAGTTATTTTGGTGATTTAAAATATAAATCAACTTAGAAATTATGATGTATTATTATAGGTTATGTTACCTAGCAGTATATATGTAAGGTATTTTTTTTAAAAGCCACCTTTATCCTCTGCAACGATGAACACAATAATGCATAAATCATTATAATCCAATGATGTACTGTATATGTTCCTGACGTGGGCCATCCTATAATGAGTACTTGAAGATATGAATCAGGAAACAAATAATATACAATTCTTTTGTGTTTATTATTTCATACAAAATAATAAAATGATATATGCTGCGCCCATAATAACCCATTTTAACAGCTTCATGGTCATCTCTAAAACAGCTGGTCAGGTTTTAAAATTTAGAATATATAGTCAACTCAAATAATGTAATTATCATTATAATATTGCTTTAAAATGTTGAAGCAAAACTCTGTTGAAGCACAAATGGTTATAAAAAATATATAAACTCATCTATATACTGTATATCTCCAATGAATATAAAATAAATTGAGTTTCAAAATTATAGACATGCAGTATAATATAAACATATACACAACTTTGGATATTTACATAGTTACATCTTTTGATCTTGTAATAGTACCCAAAAAAATCAACACATTTCCTCCTTGAGTAATAACATCATCAGTAAGCTGAAAATAAAATTAGGAGATTGTTGGTGTCAAAACTTAACTTAAATGTAGATAGAAATAACACCTTCTTGTGAAATACAACAAAGTAGGAATTACAAAATGTGGAAAAAGAATCAATTTACATATAAAACAAGTGCTGCATCGTAAAGTAGGCTTCATCATTACGAAGCAACAAGATCGGCTTTATAAACAAACTTAAATAAAGGAGAAAGTCAGTGACACATTTTAAAACTACATAAGTCATCAAATAAACATACAACAGCATAAGTCACAACATACAAACATAATATGAAAAGAACAATAAAAGAAAGGTATGGTTCTGCTTATGGAAGCATTAGTGCTTTAAAACCTACATGAGGTCAGACAAAAACAAAGTTCCCCCTTTTTGGTAACTTCTTGCTGGGACTTCAAGGTCCATGTTTCGTGGACGAAAGTCAGGACCCCCAAGCGTGTTATATTTGTTGTTTGGCATTCTTTGATTTTGTGCTTGGTTGGGAAAAACAGTGCCGAAGTATGCGTCTGAACTGTCAGGGACTCTAATTCTTGGATCTTGAGATAAATGTGTCAAATGTACGTTTGGTATCTGCTGCATTGATCTGTGTTGCCTTGAATACACATCAGTGCCACCAGGAGGCATTCTATTGGTTCGTCTGGGGTCCCTCATGTCAGTGTTAACACCTGGCGGGGTGATCGCCTGTCTATAGCCATGTGGTGCCTGGAAGTCAGGTTTTGTACCTCTTGATCTAAGCACATGTTCCCTTCCTGTGAAATCATCAATGTTGAGATCTGGACGGTGGAAATCTACGTGGTGGCCGAAACCAGCATCCACCTGAGGGTAGCTGGACCTCACGTTGTGCGTAGTTGGATGTCTATCAGTGTGACGAAGTCTGACATCTCCATCTACGTTCAGGTCGGGCATTCTCATGTTAACCCCTGGGATATCTGATCTGCGGTTCCTATAAGAAGGTTCTCTGAAATTGGTTGAAAAATCATCAATGTTAAGATCTGGAGATCTGAGATGCATCTGTGGATTCCGCATTGCCACTTTTGGCATGTTTTGAGCAGTAACATTTGGACCTGTGAAATCCCCTCTCAACTGTTGTGGTTTCATATTCAGTTTTGCATTTGGAGGAGAAAAATCCAGATTTCTTGGTCTCAGAGATCCACCAAAGTCAATATCAGACCCTTGCCTGTTAATATCTGGACCTACAAACTGAGGCATCTTCAAGGAAGGGAGTTTGAAGTTTGTGTTTTCCAAATCATAACCAGTTTGAGGACCCTGGAAGTTTCCTGAGGGAACATTCATGTCAAAGTTTGGACCTCTCATTCCTCCTCTGACATTAGGGGCAGTAAAGTTCACGTCAGGTCGTCCTAAGTTACCATGTATCCCTAAATCAGGACGTTTAGTATTGAGGTCTAACTTGGGAGCTTTGAAACTGGTATCCGGCAAATGTAAATCTGGCATATTTAGACCATGGGATTTCATCTTATGTCCTGAAAGATTCATATCTGGTAGTTTTGCCTTCGGTCCAGAGAGACTGAGGTCTGGTGTATTTACACTTGGCATTTTAAATGTTCCTTTTGGACCATTGACATCTACATTTGGAATATTTAAGTCAGGCCCCTGTAGGTCCCCATTTATGTCAACATTGGGGCCCTTTGGCATTCTGATCTTCGGCTTTTTGAAATTTACATCAGGGAAACCAATGTTGACATCTGGAGTGTCCATATCTAACTTGGGAGCTTGAAGGTCCATTTTCGGTAATCCAAATTTGGGGGCATTGATTCCACCTTTCAATTTTGGAGCTTTGAGATTAAAATCTGGTGACTTGAAGTCAAAGTTTGGGCCATCTAACGTTGGACTAGAAAACCCCACATCAGGCATTTTCAAATGTGGCTTTTTTAATTTTCCAGATGGGCTGCCAAAACCAACATCTGGCATTTCAAAGTCACTTTTGGGCCCTTTAAGGTTGATGTTGGGTGCATTGATGTCGATGTCTGGGCCATTGAAGTTTCCATCAATCTCAGGTCCTTTTAGGTTTGGTAGATTAACTTCAGGCATTTTCAAATGTGGCATTTTGGGAGCTTTAAAGCCCATTTTAGGAAAGTCCAAGTCAGGGGCATCAATTCCGCCCTTTATCTTTGGAGCTTTAAGATCAGCGTTTATATCCATATTTGGTCCCTTTGGACCTGAAAGATTGAATTTAGGCATTTTCAATTTGCCGGAGGGAGCTTTAAGATCCCAGTCTGGAGAATGAAGCTCTGGCATTTT